AAACCCTACCATAAGGGGGCACACCCAGCTTCAGTTAGTAAAAATGAAGAAAGACAGGGAGAGATACCTCTATCCCTAGGGTCGAACATAGAACCTGAAAGGCCCTCAAAAAACCCCAACTATTGGGGTGTAGCTGGTAAGGAGCCGTGTTGACAAAATTTAAAAAATCACATTCAAGTTGGGTAAAGGGAAGGCATACGCCTAAATCCCTGAAAAAGCACTGGTACATATAGAAGAAAGGAGGGTCAGAGGGAACCCCCATATAGACGCGCTCACCGGGCTGGCACGGTTCCAGCCGGATAAGCTTGGAAAGGGAGGATTCACAGATCCTATGCGATTTCCACATCGCATTGATCTCCATAAACGACCTGAAGATGCTCTAAAATTCCCCCACGTCACTCCTAACCCAATCGTAGCCAGGAATGCGGGGGATGGGTTCCTTGGGCTGGCTCTCCCCTCTCTTCTTTTCGGCAGTGACCAACCTGGTAGCCACCGCCTTGCCACGCGCCTTGCCCTTGCCTTTGACAGGCACAGAGGGGGGCGACATCCTTGTTACCAGCCATCAAGAAAATCAAAAGATTTGAAAAGAAGGAGAAAATAGGGAAGTCGAAGTACCTGGTACTCCTTTGACAAAGGAAAGAACAATAAGGAAGCAGAAGAACTCGGTTGCCGGAAATGGCGACGGAGAGTAACGGAACCAAGAAAGGCGAAGGCGGGGAGCGAAGCTGAGAAACGAAGAGGCGTCAGGAACAAGACAAAGGAAAAGAGTAAAGTGAAGGGGAAGAGGCGCAAGAAAGAGAAAACCTCCAAAATTCAAAATGGTCGCGACACGTGTCGGCTAGGGAACACAATTGACGACACATTTAATGAGCCCTATTATGACGAGCACAAGTCATCATTGCGTAACCATCACTCCCCATTAATGCGCCGCCCATGCGGTATGGGAATGAGGTGACAATTTCGACACATGGCAGTAGGGCAAGGAAGCGTACGTGAAGAGTCGCGGCTCCCCTCCAAGCTCGACATTAACTCCTCGACCCAAGGTCTTTAGAGCTCGGGGGGCTAGTGTACTATCCGTACCGCGAAGCCGAGCTCCAGCTCGGCATCACAGCGCAGGATGACCTCGGATACGCACCTCGGACACGCGCTGGGAGACCTCCGCTAAGACGAGGTCCGTTACCTAAATAAATCATAACTGATCTCAGGCCCAAGGCCCAACAAAACCCTAATTCACACAAAGGTACGTGCATTACTTATACGAGACTCATACACGCACAAAAACTAACTTTAGCATCGGAGTCTCTTTTGCAGGTATCACCCCCATCTTGGAGCAACAAGCGTACAAGTGAAGGAGGCTCGTCGATCTTACCTAGCAGATCGTCCCCTACAGCCGATCTCCGGTAAGAACAAGTACCTTACACTAATTAGTTATTCCTAGAGTCATCATGCATTGAGACATTGCATGTTATACACTAGTTAGGTTTTTGGCAAAGCATAGAATTATGATCAGAGGTATTGTTTTATTTTTGTATGGACTGATAAGTTGAGAACGAGTTGAGACATTACACATTATTCCTAGAGTCTTCATGCGTTGAGACATTATATGTTATAAACTAATTAGATCTTTGGATGAGCATAGAGTCAGGATCTAAGGAATTACTTTATTTTTTTATGAATCGATTAGCTGAGAGTAAATTGTATTTTTTTATTAAATAAAAAATTGTGTTCGGATTTCTTAACATTACAATTTAAGTTTTTTTAAATAAAAAATGATTTGAAAAAATGTGCAAAGTAATCACATTTCTCGATAAAAAAAAATCATAAATGTAACACTGTAAGTTTTTGATTAAGTATTGTCTTTTAGCAATAATTGTATGTTGTGGTGTTTTAAGGTGAGGTGTTGAGGGACTCTGCGAGTTAAGGAACTCTTGAGAAGTCTTTAGGTGTTTTAGAGGATGTTTCTAGGCAGAGGTCTAATTTGACTCTAAGGGAAGGAGTATATACGGTTTCTTTTGAGATTTGAACCTTTTAATTCATTTCTCAGAGAACCTAGAAAGATAAAATTGAGAGAGAAACTCTAGAGTTATAATCTTCCCTTTCTTCTTTCTAGGCTCCCCTCCTAAGGTGTAAAGGATTTTCATTTGGTGCTTGAGTGGTGATCAAAGGCTCTTAGCTGAAGATTATCACTGTAAAGGTGTGGTGCGGAGCTTTTTATTGTTCAAAGCTCAACTTCTGCTTCTTCTTCCGTAGTTCTCTATAGATTTGAGGTAATGGAAGCTAGAACTTATTTGTTGTTGATTTGTTTGAGTTGTATGTTTGCAATGGTTGCTAATTGGTTGAGATGGATGTAGTTGTGCTGTTGAATAACATGATTTGAAATTGATAATGGAACTTTGGAATTCTTGGTTTTTCAAGAAAAAAATTTGGTGAAGTTGGTGGATCTTTTGTTGCATGTGTTGTTTATTGACTGAAATGAGTTATGGATGAGCATATGTATATTGTGTTACACTACATGTTGGTATCCTTTGGTTTTCAGGTGGCTTTGAGCCAAATTTGTTATCTACAAGTGTAGAAATCACAGTCGCACCGGGCGTGTTAGAGGCTTTTTGCCTCACTTACACCGGGCGTAGGATTGGTAGCACTAGGCGCGAGGAGAGAGAAACTCATCTCTATCTGGTTTGGAGTCGGGTGTGGGACTTTGCCATGCTTGGCATGAGGGCCTATGGGTATTTAACTAATCTATGTCGGGTATGGGTTGTATGGCGTCATGTGTGGGTGAGGCAAAAAACTGCCTACATCAATGGCATTAGATGCAAGTTGGATAGCATTAGGCGTGAGTTGCCTTGTATTAACTTGTTGCTTTCATGATTATATAGTGAATATGAATAGATTAGATTAATTATCACCTTTTGTATTTGATTAATGATATTTGTTCTATGTATACTGATCTGGGATAATATATATAGATGATTATATGTTGAAAAATATTGAGGTGCATTTGTGTTGTGAATTGACTAATGTTGTTAGGTCTATGTCCATTGACTTGGAGTAATGAATATATATAGATGTATGTTGTTGAGGTATTGATGCTGAGAATGCTTTAAACATTTAGGTATGTTGATTGACTTAGGACTAGAAGAGAGGTTGTTTTCAAAAGATGGATATCCTATTGAGTGCATATTAATGTGGTGCTCTATGAGCTCAGTTGTTGAGAAACCCTCCCTTAAGTAGGTGTTATTTCTTGGAGTGGATTGTTGACTTTCTTTTAGGACCATAATTGATGTGATATATGAGCTAGGTTAAGGCATACTGAATATAAGTGACCATAGTATAAGGGTTAAATCGAGCTATACTGATTACAAGTGACCAATGTTGATTTGTATGTGGACATGGTCGATGCATACATGTATAGAGTGATAAATTGAGTAAAGTACGAAGTCATAGACTTTGTCTCTAACTAAGTATTGGAGGGGTGTAGTATTTGGAGGATATTCGGTGAGTTAATTCCATAAGGGGCTTCGTGTTGTAAACTAATGTCATGGTAGACTCTTACCCAAAAGTTTCTGATAGGAATACTAGACTTCCTAATTTAAGGGACGACATCCAAGAAATCATATTGTTAGGGATTAGTATTCCAATTTGGCTGTTGACCTAACATGTGTAAAAAGGATATGTTGATTTGGCAGGGTCAAACTACTTAAACTACTTATCTTGTTATAGGAGATCTTCATAAGTGAATGCATAACAACGTATTAGTTGAGGTGTATACATAACAACGTATTAGTTGAGGTGTGTGCATATGATGGTGTGACGTGCTTGTTGCTCATATGTTTTGGTGATTATATTGTTGAATTACATGGTTATGGTATAAGTTTGAATTGCTAGAGTTGTTTGCCTTTCAAACTTGTTGATGTCGTGTCGAGTGTTATATGATGTGAACCACGAGATGCATGTTGGGTGGCTTACATTTTGTTGTTAGTAGTATAGTTGTATTTCATCTATATTTGTTTTACGTTGATTATTTTGAAATTTAGCTTAACTTTACATATTTTTTAGTTGTTAGACTTCGATAATCATGTTTACATGTTAGCTAGAAGCGGCCAAGAACTTTAGTGAACCATGTTGTTGGCATTGTAGCTCTTGACTACTTTTATTTATTTTGTTGTAACTATACTTGATCGACACATAGGATCATATAGCATAGTTTATCGATTACTATATATACATATGTACTTGTTTATCTTTTTTAATCAATTTTACAAAATTTTATTATATATATGCATATAGTTTATTATGAAGTTTTTCCAAGATCTATAACTAAGTGAATTTTAGATAGTTGTATTTTTTTTTTTCGTTACTAGTAGATGATTATGTTAACTGGAAAAAGCATGACGGACTGTTACAACAAACAACAAAATTAGATACATGTTTTTTATTTATTTATAAATAAGTAGATACATATTTTACATGTATAACGTATAGAGAAGGAAAATGCATTATGACATGAGGCCTCGAAAGAGAAATGAATGAATCAGGATTCATTTCTAATATGTGATTTTGATGCTGACCCATGACGCTGGACTCGATTTTCTCGTGGAATTGGAACTCAACAACCATTAAGCGAGTCGTCATACAGATCCAATGCACATTTCATTTTCTACTATCCTAAAACCATTGAAGAGAAAGAAAATGAATTTTGTTTTTACTATGATCATTCTGCAAACATGACAGTGTGACATCAATTTGGTGTGGTTTAAGATAAAGGCAATTCCCATGGACCATACTACAACTGGCAACTTTCTTTGCAGAAATTTATTCATAGCTCAGAAAATGAAAAACATCACACTCGGTAACAGATATCCAAAATAAAGAAAGTAATTTCCTTAAAGTGAGTAAAATTAATGATAAAAGTAATATATATATATATATATAAAAATTAAGAAAAGATGATTTTACTGATACGTACGTGAGTAGTGGAAGAGTGTAATTAACAATTAATAAGCGAAGGTAAATAAATATAATTATATTATGTTATATTATATGTAGTATGTAATAATGTTTGGATATAAAAATGGATAGGCATGGCTTTATGCAGGAATAGAGTTGAACTGGTCACATCTGCTCCTGACCTCACCCTTCTTCCCAGTTCTGACTCCGAGCAAAGAAAGCCTCTCCATGGCGTAGGCAAAGTCAGTGAAGAAGGCTTGTTGGTCATTGGCGTAGAGCTCAACGATGGGGCGGGTCCGGGGGTCCACAGCCAGAAGAGAATCAGAAGACAAGAGCCCTAACCCTTTGATCAAGTTCTGGTAATAAGCATTGTCGAACTTCCCCGGTGACCTAACGTCGTTGAAGGCGGCCATGGAGGAGTCCTGGGTGTAGTTCTGGCAAACGGACCTGAGGCCGGCCACCAGCTTAGGGTGCATGGAGGGGTCAGAATCGGAGCTGGAGCTGAAGTTGTAGATACGGTGGATGAACTCCTTGCAGTGAGTGAAGCCGATGGTGTGAGCGCCGGTGAGGGAAACCATGTCCTTGATGGAGAACCCCTTGGAGGTGAACTTGTCCATGATTTGGTCCATGCTCATGTAGGGAGTGGGAAGGCTAGCGTCGACCTTGGCGGCGTCGGATTCGGTGCTGTCTTTGCGGCCGAGCTTGACGGGGTAGAAGGGACCGCCGACCATCTTGACGAGGTCGCGGGTGGCCTGGGCGACGATGTCGGAGCAGGAGACGATGCCGGGGCAGGAGAGCTCGAGGGCGTTTTTGATCTTGACGATGACGTCGAAATATATATATATATATTTTAATATTTCTTTGATTTGAATCCGGTAAAAAATTGTCCCCTTGCTTCTAAAAGTTCTACAGGAAAAAATCATTATGGCCTTTCTTCAGGCAGAAAGATCTCATTCCAAGTTCCAAGTCATTTTAATTAAGAACATTCATCAACTATGAAGTGTTACATTTATCGGTAGAAATTATTATGATAATAACAACAAAATACTAGTTAATTACAAAAAAAACACTAGTTATTGTATTTCATTAACAGAGAAGTTAATTTTAATTATTTTTTTAATGTTGACAAACTTTTACATTAACACATATATTTATTTTTAATTTACACGCCTGGGAATATCTCTATTACAAAATGGGGCAAGCAATAATATCAAAATTGAAGAAAAAAATTTCTGAGTATTTTACGAGCAATCATAAGTTCATAACTCAGTATCAGCAATAAAGAAAATGCACTAACACATTGACACATGACAGCAATAATATATATCCCAGTACGTGGCATGCAAAGAAAATATCAAAAATACCGTGAATGAAACTTTAGTGACAGTCCATTATGAGTAGAGTGAAAAATGTGTGATGCATTTCTAATACCATAAAGTTGTTCAGTACGTGATTATGATGTTGACCCCATGATGCAGAACTCGATTTAAGACATGATATCATAAAGTTAGCTGAACAATCCAGAGCATCAAAATTTTGTAACAATAACTCTTCATAAAGTTTTTCCAAAGCACGAATAGGAATAAAAATAAAAATAAAAAGTCACCTCAAACTTAAAATGACAATATTGCATGTATGACGTACTAAGGCTTAGATTATGGTTAAAACGTGACGTGCTTCTGTTATTTTGTTTTTAGCGAACCAGATCCATTGTAGGTTATAGCACATACAAAACAAATGATCAAATACCAAAATTTACAACATAACAGTATAGCCCAGCCCAATGTGTAAGAGTAGCCCAAAGTTTCGAATTGGAACAATATAAGAGAACTTGTTATTATTTTTACTTTTATTTTATTCCTTATAATAGAAACGTTTAATTAATATTTTGCATGAAGTTTTGTTTGGATTTAGGATAAAATAGTCTCAACCAATCAATTTTAATTGATTTAATTTGAATTTGACTTACCAATTTTACTTCAACAAAATTAATTGGATTTCTTGAAAAATGATGTACATATTTATTTTTTTAAAACAAAAGGGTACATGATTTTGTCCAATTTATTTATATATATATATATATATATATATATATATAAACATATTATTAATAGAGTGTAAATAACATATTCTAGTATATAATAAATGTAATGTAGGAATTTGAAATAAATTGTTATAAACTACATAAACTAACATTCATAAACAAATATTAATCCAAAAATCCAAGTGTCCATGAAAACAAACAAAAATTAATACTCAAACGATACAATGAACAAAGAGAGAGAAAGATTTGCTCAAAGATTTATGTTGGATTACTTTTTTTATTGAAAGTTATATCCAGTCTTCTATGATCAACCTTAGGTCATAAAATTTCAACTATAGGCAAAAAAAATGATCACAATGAGAATAGTTGATCAAACTTAGATCCTAAGGCACTCTCATAACCCCTATAAAAATCCTTTACTAATATCTCTTAACTATAGAACCCCTTTTCTAGCTTGTACACCCAAGAATCACTACTTGAGACAATCCCCATTGGAAAGATCACTAAAATAAAGAAATAATGTTTGGAATGAATAAACTTTTAAGCATAGGCTTTGTCCAAAAATCTTGAATGCTTATTGATTATCTTCTTAATTAAGAAAACTTAAAAAATGGTTATTGAAGAATTCTCTCTTTTTCTCAAAGTATTTGCTCACATTTGATTTCTCTATTTTCTTTCTTGAAAACTCTTGATTTTCTCTTTCAAAAACTCACTTTTGAAAATTGAACTTATCTAATCTCTATTCAACTCTCTTTTAAAAAATGAGGTGAGTTGACTTCATATAGAAATTTTTTTGTGATGATGTAATTAGTTATTTTGATCACATGATTGATTACATTAATCTTGTTGTTATCCAAAAACAAACTTTAATTGATGTAATCTGTTACACCATCATGTATTTGATTAAAACAAAAATTTTGTTTTGAAGTTATACTCCAATTGTTCATGTAATTGATTACAGACATCTTGTAATTGATTATGTAACATCCCAAAATTTTTAGAATACATTTATAAATAAAATTTAAATAACTAATTGGAGTTATCTTGTAATTATGAGTGTTATTAATTAAAAAGAAAATATTTTGAAATTAATTAATTTATAAGTTTTATAGGTAAAAATGTTTTAGATAAAAAAAAAATAAGATTTTGAAATTATTTAAAAAAGACATGTTCATCTTATTTATCTTTAAGTTTTAAATAATCAAAGGATAGAGAGAATAATAATGGTTAATAAGTTTTTACCAACGGGTTAAACATGGTTAGGGATTTTAGAGTTTCTTATATAAAGAATTGTAAGTTAGGGTTGCCTCACGCGTATCATATTTTAAATTTAACGCTTTTATGTTTTAAAGAAGGGAGAGAACAACAACAAAACACAAAGAGTAGTGAAGAGATAAAATTCATTATCCAGATTGCATATCTACTAGGTAGCGTTTTTTGAATTGCAATTAGAGATTTGTTTACAATTAGATCAAACTAATTTTTGAATAATAGGTTCATAAGACGTGGTTCTTTATTTTCAACAATCTAGCTTGTACACTAAAGAAACACTACCTTGAGACACAATTCTCTATAGGAAAGATCACTAAAAGAACAAATATGTGGTTTGGAACAAATAAACCTTTTAAGCACAGACTTTGTCCCACAATCTTGAACACCTCTTGGTTATCTTCTTGATTGAGAAAACTTAGAAAATGGTTCTTGAGAATTCAATCTTTTCCATAAAGTAATTGCTCACATGCGATTTCTCTATTTTCTTCCTTAAAACTTTACTTTTCTCTTTCAAAAACTCACTTTTGAAAATTAAACTCTTTTGATCTCTCTTCAACTCTCTTTTAAAAAAATGAAGTGAGTTGACTTTAAATTGTAAAACTTTTGTGATGATCTAATTTTGTTGATTACGTGATTGATTACATTAATCTTGTTGCTACCTAGAAACATACTTTAATTGATGTAATCGATAAGATTGTCATGTAATCAATTAAAAAAAAACTTTGTTTCCAAGTTATACTATTGTTGCTCATGTAATTGATTATGGACATCTTGATATTGGTTATGTAACATCCCAAAATTTTCAAAATAATTTAATAATGAAATTGTAATAACTAATCGGGGTTATCTTGTGATTATGAGTGTTATTAAATAAAAATAAAATATTTTGAAATAAGTTAAAATAAAACTTTGTCTCCAAGTTATACTCTTATTGCTCATGTAATCGGTTACATACATCATGTAATCGGCTATATAACATCCTAAAATTTTTAGAATAAATTAATAAAGAATTTTAAATATTTAGTTGGGGTTATCTTGTAATTATGAGTGTTATTAATTACAAAATATTTTAAATTAATTAAATAGAGGTTTTATTGATAAGAATGTTTTAGATAAGAAAAAAAAGATTTCAAATTTTTTTTAATAAATTATATGTTTATGTTATTTATCTTTAAGTTTTAAATAATTAAAAGATAGAGAGAGTTTTAGTGGTTAATTGGTTTTTACTGGCTGTTAAGATTTTAGAATTTTCTATATAAAGAATAGTAAGCTAAGATTGTCTCACACATCTCATTTTAAAATCCATGCTTTTGTGTTCCAAAAAGAAGAGAGAACAACATCAAAACATAGAAAAAAATGAAGAGAAAAAATTTCTTTGTCTAGTTCACATATCCACCGAGCAATGATTTTCGAATTACAATCAAAGATTCATTCACTGCTAGATCAGATTGATTTTTGGATAGTAGCTTCGTAGGATGTGATTTTTCATTTTCAGCAGTCTAGACTGTACACTTATGAAACACTATCTTGAGACACAATTCCCTATTGGAAAGATCACTAAAACAACCAAATAAGGTTTTGAATGATTAAACCTTTTGAGCACAAGCTTTGTTTCATTATCTTAAAAACTTCTTAATTATCTTCTTGATTAAGAAAACTTAGAAAATGGTTCTTGAAAAATTGTATTTTTCACAAAGTATTTGCTCACACATGATTTCACTATTTTCTTTCTTGAAAGCTTTTGTTTTTCTCTTTTAGAAACTAACTTTAGAAAATTTAACTCTTCTGTCTTCAACTCTATTTTAAAAAATGAGGAGTATAGACTTTATATAGAATTTTTTTTCATGATGTACTCGGTTACTTTGATCACGTGATAGATTATATTAATATTTTTACTACCTAGAAACAAACTTTAATTGATTTAAGCGGTTACATCATCATGTAATTGATTAAAACAACACTTTGTTTCCAAGTTATACTTTTGTTGCTCATGTAATCAATTGGGAACATCTTATAATTGGTTATGTAACAGCCCAAAATTTTCAATTTAAATAATTAATTGGATTTATCTTCTAATTATGAGTGTTATTAATTAAAAAGAAAATATTTTGAAATCAATTAGTTTAGAGATTTTGTAACGTAGTTAGTAGAATGGAACGGGGCGTTCCTAGATTGGAACAGGGCGTTCCTAGATTGGAACGGGCCGTTCCAAACTACTAAAACAAGGGTGATTTAGTAGCCCTGAACGGGTCGTTCCCAAACTGGAACAGGCCGTTCCAAGCTACTAAATAGGTCTATGAATCTTGGACTGGAACGGGCCGTTCCAAAATGGTCATTGTGAGTTAAATTCAACTCCAGAACGGGCCGTTCCGATTTTAGAACGGCCATTCTAGACGTGCCAGAACGGGCCGTTCTGGTTTCAGAACGGGCCATTCTGCATGTGAATTTAACACTTGATGAAGGAGCCCAGAACGGGCTGTTCTGGATTTGGAACGGGCCGTTCTGGCCAGT